ATAACAATTCTCAGTCTCGCAACAACATTCATCATTGCGGCCGGCCGCAAATAGCTCCGTGAAGGTTTATTTCGTGCACCCAGTGGAAAAGCGCCAACCAAACCGCCATTCTCTCCTTGTTTAAGTGCTCCCTGTATCTCATTCCATGCATTATGGAAGGCTCGAGAGATCTACGAGGGCAAAAGCGTGTCGATGGAGTCCCAAAGTGCAAAGTTCCTTTGTGGAATACCATGATTCCCAGCGACAGGTCGCGGGTGCCCTGCCCAAGCCGCTCGGCAGGGCAAGAAAGGTCACGGGATTGGCGATCGAAAGACCAATGAGACCGCAGTCGCACAGTGGAATGAGCCAATCGAAGTGTTCCGACTTGAAATTTTCGGGTATAATTTCAAATTTTGAAGTTTACCTCGTCCCAGATTCAATTTCAAGGGGTGTTTCTGATAGGAGATTTTACAAAAAAAACCAACGGAACCACTCTTAAACTTTTTTGTTTCATATTTTCGGAAAAAAATGAGCTTTCCAAGTTTCCAGGTCTTGTCCGACTTCTCCCGTTGACTCGGTCCAATGTGAGTCGAGGGTTCGCGCCATTGTCCCAAGCGAGCCGATAGCTTTGCTCTTGTCCGATAACGGATCTTCATTGGTTTTCGTGCTCTTTCAACGCCGATTTCCGGTGTTGGGTGAAAGTTTAGTCCGCGCCGCACGGGTTTAACCTGCAGTCCTGCCCCTCGTCCGCTGTCCGATCGCTGTGCTATCCTGTATTTACGTCAATCGTAGTTTTTTTGAAAGACCTTAATATTCGTCTCAGATCCATAATCTCCCGACCTAGTGGCTCGACGCTTTTCCCTTCCTTCTTCTTAGTTTCTCAGCTGGCGCGAGCGGTTCTCAGACGAGATACAGGGTGTTTCAGGAATGCATCGATTCAAGAGCCGAATCTCTGGATTGGGAAAAGTATTATTTTTCTCGAGACATCCCTTTGCAACAATATCTTATGGTATAAGTATAGTAGTGGTATAAGATTCTTATATATACCACTCCGGATTTATAAGGATATCAATACCAACGATTTTGATGCTTTTCGGCTAACTTAACGAGAATTGTACCATATTTTGCAATCAGGAACTGCAATGTCTGCCTCAGTTAAGAAACGACGTATGCACCTCTAGTTTTTCTGTGTGCACACATGTTTTGACGGATGAGGCAGAATTTGTAGTTTCTAATTGCAAAATGAAGTCAAAACGTAGTTTAGGTTTTTTCAACTAAAAAGTTTGTCCCATTGTCAGAGCAAGGACACTACATCATGGGAGTCTCGGGACACTTTCGAAGCTCAGAAAAAGGATTAAGAAAAAGGTATCTAACTTCAGATGGGATCTAGGGCACTTCTCCGGGAAAACTTTGAACTTTAAGAAATTCAGACGTCTCAAAAGCAATTTTAAGGTGTTCCTGTTCCTGCCCGAAAAATTGATTGTCATACGATGCAAAGATAAATCACGCAAAGAAAAGTAGTCGTGTTCTTGTGTTACTTTCGGTTAATATAGGAATCAAATTAAGAATTAACGCAAATTAAGAATTGGTTTCTGTTGCAAGATTGCATCAAAAGCACTGAAAACACTGGAAAAGTCGGCAAACCCAAGCGAATGCTAAGGTTACTTTGTGTTGCATTTCCTTTATCAACCGAAATGTTGTGGCATTTTTCTGTTCGGTGCGTAGATGTCTTGATGCTCCTCTGACGTAGGAGCATATCTCGCTTTCCACGTGAGCCCTGCTCTTCGCTTAACTCTGTACTTTTCGGGGCTCATGTCAAAATCGGCCACCGGTCAACCCTCCGGCTCCCCCCGGGCCCCCAAGTTCCGGCCAAGCCTCGGAAAATGTCACTAGGAGTTTATCCATTGTTGCATTGATGTTGATCGATACTGTGGGCGACTCAGCGCACTTTGCGTAGAAACGACTCATTGGCTCAAAACGTTATCCGAAATGACTCGGCGTGTTCGAAGACGGAACGGAGCGGCGCTAATTTTCCGCGACGAGAATAGCAGTATATTTTTCATGGATGGCGGGAAATCCACGTGAGCTGACTAAGAACATCGAGCGTGGAGCCAGGGTTCGGTCGTTAGTGTTTGCGTCACCAATTAATATTATTCATGCCATTAAATCCTATGTGGTCGCCGGTCGCGCGAATCAGGCGATCCCGCTGTAGCCAAATTTCGCGATGAATATCTCCAAAGTTAGTCACAACAAATGTAAATTCATGAAAAACAATCAGTTTTATTCCTAACCGACAGTGGCACCAACCTGCAAGATCTGCAAGATGCTACACATACCAAAAACATGAGCATGATAAGAAATGTAAAATCATAATTAAAAAAAATAATAAGAAGAAAGAAAACGAAAAAAAATTGTATTTGTTCTCTAATAAGCCCAGCACTCTTTGGAAATCCTGAGTTCCCTCGTACGCTACTATCCGAGGAAAAATACAATTAATCTCTGTCATAAATTTTAAATTGACTACACTATATCTGTCACATTAGAAATAGTATGGATTGTAGATGATTCTTCAAATCCATGTCTGCAGGTTTGTCAATGCTTCATTACAAGGGGCCGTCCCGAAATCAAGTAACGCAATTTTTCGGCATTATTGACCCTCCCCCCTCTCTGTAATGTTTTTTTGACGTAGGTCCCTATCCTATAATTTAACGCGTTAAAACAAAATTGCGTAACGCTCTCCTAAGGCACCCCCCTTCCCCGCTAGAGCGTTACGCAATTGAGGTACGGCCCCTAAATAACTACAAACCTCCCAACTGAACATTTACAACTCGTAAAAGTAATAATAGCATTATCGTTTTGCTCCGACAACACTTAATTATCATAACTAATGCAGGTAAAGTTATCAGAGTCTTCCTCTTCCCAGCTCTTCCCCTATCTCACTTTTCCTTTACTTCTTCTATATTATGCCGATAATATCTCTCGCGTTAATATTTCATTTTTAATTGAATATGGCGATCTCTCCTGTACTAAAGCAACGGTTCTCCACCAGCCTTGACTTTAAAAGCTTTTTTTAGCTCAGTAGTTGACGTTAGGAAAAAAACTATTATGCTCGTGTTAAGTGGTATTTCTCGATACAGTTCACGTTGTCGTAAATGGGCGTGTCTATGAAAAAGGAGCTTATATATCTGTCGTATACACCTTACGATAAAGAAAGAAAAATAAATTGGCGCTCTGCACCTATACGTAGTTTTTAGCCCAAATTGCTAACGTAATTGGTGATCTGCACGAAGTAAGTTGGTTAGGTGGGTTTATCACCAACGATATAGATTTAGTGGTGTGGTGGTATGTAGCACCATCTTGTAGATGTAAAACTCCAATTTTGTTTATGTACAGCACCCAGCTAACTCTTTTTTTTAGTGTATGCAGTCATTTTACTTAAGATGCAGCCGAATGTGTAGATGAAACATTGCGAAGACTTTTCCTAATTCGTTGGATCTCCTTTCTTCGACTGTAAGATATTGATTCGATGGAACTGTTAATCAACGTAATATATTTGTGATGTTTTAAAATATCTGCTCCAACTGTGAAATAAGGGAATATCTATGTTTTTCGATTAATTAACGATAGCGACCATTCATATTTATATACCATTCGATAAGTATTCAAAAATCGACCCGGTCTGCTCTGGATCCAAATCATACTTGACACCTCTGGTTCTGGATAGTTTGTAAGGACCGTTTGGTAGCATTCCAATGTCAGACGGAGTATCTTCACGGACTTGGAATGAATCATACTTCCAAGCATAGCTTACCCAACTGTTCATGAACATTTTCTGAATCTTACATCAAATCTTTTACACCTAAAATCTCTTCATATACCCAGAGTCGTGTCATGTCGAGTCCTGGATGTACCAAATGGACAGGAAGAGCATACAGTTAGTAACGTTTTTTGTAGTTTTTGGTCAACTGATGCCTGTAATTGCTGCTAACTGCCTTTAAAAGTTGCGTCCAAACCGCAAAAAAGGCGAGTTTCAAAACTTTTTGTCGCGACTACAAACGCGTTGCGGCAGCACTATAAATCGTCCAATTTCGCTCGAATTTGGGGATATTTAACATAATGACACAATAAAACTACCGAACATCGATGATTCGAGAAATTTTTTGGATGGTTCAACTTTGGGACATTATAGTGTGCATAGCACGCAAAACTTCGAAGCAACTTTATTTTAATGTTGGGAACAGAAAGGTGAAATCCGTCAAGTTGTCGATTCAAACCTTTGATTTTTTAAAAAATGCGAAATCGCTTATTCAGTTCCAATACGCCTCATGTTACTCGATTTGCTGTCTTCTTAAAACCGCAGGACCACAATTTGATGCGCGATTCTCGAACGGCTCTATAGCTACCGTGAGGTTGGAGCCAGACTCAAGGGCGCTGTCTTGTCAAGTCATATGAACAAATCATGACGACATTTGAAAAAACAATCGGAGGACACGCACTGGCAAAAAAGAGTTCACCTTGCGTCCGAGGAACGCCACCAGCAAGCGTTTCCAGCCCCCCTCCAATCCGACGAACAGACCGTTGCGGCAACGGATCGTTACGGGGAAAGAAGACTCTAACAATAGAATGAGATAAAAGTTAGTTAGTTAGTTAGTTAGTATAATTTTAAGAATTCAGCGAAAAGCTGCGTAATCGGAGAGACTGTCCATACGCAAACCAATCAAGTGTATCATCTGATAAGTTGTAGAATGCAGGCATTCTGTCAGAGCTCAGGGCTCAGAAGGAAATGTAATAAGTTCTGGTGTCCGATACCAGAACCAATTTTTTTACTCATCCCTTTCCAGTTATGATGAGAATGCAAGTAACTCAATTTTTCCACAATTGTCGGCTACGGTTCTTTGCCTCTTACATGTTACATGTGTTACGTGTTGCATGCTCTTCAGATGTTTGTTGACACATTTTACATAAATTGTCAATATGTTTTTGTGAACTGTTTTTTAATGTATTTGTGTATTTTTGTGCAGAGAGGGGAGCAACACAAACACGATGGTGGACTCGCCGGATGTGATAACGATGGACCCGCGGAACGGGATTGTGAACCCGGCGTTTCAGCCGCCCTCGCTCATGTCGCAACAGAGCACCGACTGGACGCGGCGGCAGCAAGCCGTCAGCGTCCGTCACGCATTCAAACATTACGGCTCCAAAAAAAATCCCAACCACGTTCTCAGCAACCTAAACATGACAGTCGGCAAAGGAACCATGTAAGTACACCTTGATTTCTCACTTCCGGTTCAGGACCCTTCACTGGTCACGCATGTCTCGCACTCTTCCGTCAACTCTTACCATGAAGGGATTCTTGATCCTCTAAATGGAAAGCGTTAGGTGAAGTTAGGCGTCGTAGAGAAGAAGAATAAGGAGGTGGTCGCATTTCGGGAGTCTTATATTTCGTCGATGACGTAGGTAGGCACAGCCGCTTTTATCATCGATATCCATTAAAGTTGTGTATTACCTATCATCACCTTTCGGCCGAAGTATCACAAGCGCCGTGGGATGTTTAAACATTTCTGCCGCCATTTTATTTTTTTTTACAGAGAAATTGTTTTACGAAGCTGTTCGAAAATTTCATTGAATTTTCTTTGTGCTGCCGATGTAGTTCAGTGAAATTTTCAAACAGATTCAACCAACAATTTCTCTGTAAACAATTAAACTGGCGGCGGAAATTTTTAAACGTCACATGGCGCTTGTGATACTTCTGCCGGAAGGTGATGATATATGGGAAAAAAACGGTCTATACAATGTGTTTAAAATTATATGTTGAGTCGAAAGAGGCACACAAAAAACAACAACAACAAAAACCAAAGTTATATATTCTTCAATCATATTTTGAATTTCTGAATTTCCTGGAATATCGACGCCATATTGTAGTTATCGCATCTTCCTAAGTCATAGGATAAATAAATCCTTAAAATACGACCACATCCTTTTTCTCTTTCGAGGCGGCGATGTGTAATCCTGCTGTGTAACTCAGCGAATCATCCTGGAGCTTCCCCCTCTAAGGCGGAGTCCCAAGAGATGGCGTGGAGCGGCGGGCGGTGGTAGAGGGCAGGCGCGCCACGCTGTCTGGTGACTCTCCAGGGACGGGCGCGGGTGAACGAGGAGGCACTTGCTCAATTCGAGCCTGGGTGGAATCCGAGATAACGCCTGGCGCCTGGCGCTTGGAGAATCCGTCTCCCCTTATCTCCTCCTTTTCCTCTCCGTGACCTATTTTACCGAACTCTCAGAGTGACCGCACAGGTTGACCCCTAGAGTCAAGTGCGATCATTGGATGCTTCTTCTTAAGCGTTCTCAACAAGTGGCAGAATCAGTGGAAGCGGATTTTTGAGAGGAATTCAAAACCAAGCTCAGATTTAGCGGGTCGTGGATACTTGGACCGCGTCTAGGAGAAAACCAACCAAGTCATATCAGCCATTGCCAAATTTCATCGAATAGTTTATTTTTCTACATAAGAACGCTCGCTCAGATTCTTCTGAAAATGTCCGAGAGTTGACTTCACGTCACCGAAGAAATCTCCTCAAAATTTCAAAAGAATCGACACAATAGCTTTTCCGGAAAAAGTAAATCGTCCGATTAAATTTGGTAATAGTAAGGCTTGATTTCTTTCTACATGATGCGGTCCAGTTACACTGCCGTGCTAAGGAAAAACGCTGTATGAACCTGCAGGCGTTGCCAAATTTTCTTCGATAAAACACGAATTCCCCGGTAAACTTAAGGATATTTCTCTTCCGATTTTTCAGAGAATATTGTTTGTATTCTGATCTAAAGTTCCTAAAAATTTCAAGGAAAAATATTCATAATTTTCTTCGCAAATAATCATTTTATCAAAGGAAATTTTGCAACTCTCGAATCTTCATATGGCGTTCTTCCTTAGCACGGTAGTACAGTACTCGCTTTCTTCCACCAATTTTTCTTTGAGTTTGCTGAGACGTGTAAAGAGGTGTCTCAGTGCCTCCCGTCCCCATGCTTGCATTTCTGGCATTCCGCAGTTAAATTTACAGAGTCTATCATTGCGAAATCAAGGAACCTCCTGAATATCCCATTTGAAAGAAGTATAGGTATCATTGCGCAATCGCATTTGATCCTTAAACTCTGAAATAAAAGCTACCTCACCTCCTTAAATTTTCAATAAATTATTGTTCTAATAAAGAAATGAGAAAAAAAATTTAATGGCGCTTAGGGCAGGGCGGTGAGAGAGTAAATTTCAGCAAAAACACGCTGTAACGTTTTTAACGATGTTACGTGAAGAAAAACTCACGAGTCCTTGACTCTTCTCACGCAATTTCCTCATTAAACAGTGGCGCGGTATCGTGGATAATGATGGTTTGCCAGCTGATTGGTGTTGTGCTTGGCGCATTTAAAAGGATTTCCTAGATCCTCGAGCTTCTAATGTATCTTGCTGAATCTCCGTAGTTTTTAAACGCACGCGGATCCAAAAAAAATGCTCATGTTAGCTCAGTGAGCGTTAAAAAGTTGAGCTTTAAGCTTGTCAGGTATTTTTCCAGTATGCTACCGAGAGCGACCTAGACCCCAGTGTCGCAAAACTCAAAATAAAGACACATATTGGTGACTCTGCACACGAATTGAAACTATGTTCCAAAAAACTCAACATTCGGTCGTTATTCCCCTTACCAGCACGGTAGACCAGCACGGTAGCTTTAATCTCCTTTGGTTTGCAATCCTAAAAAAAAAATGTGGTTGAAAAAGTCGACCGAACCCGCTCGCGGAAATATGCCTCTTGTCTCTGTTCCTTGGACCTGTGGGCTGATTGTTCAAATTGATAGACAAAGCTATAAACAAAAAAGACACAGGGAGTATGGGACGATCCTATTGGTTGAGATGACTGGTTCCTACAGGCTTAGGGAGAAAATGATGGACTAAAAATAACGGGTCCCTTGTAGGTTCCCGTTAGTTAGTCTATTACCTACCTCCTTTGTACATTGCAACCACCCGCTTCCACCATTAGTATCCCTCCACATCCTTTTTGTCTTCTTTGTCTATAGCTTTGTCTATCAATTTCAACAATCAGCCAACTGAATGGAATCTTTGGTCTTTTCGGCAACGGTGGACGAATCGTAGCATGCGAGTATGTGCGTTTCCGCGTGAGCCGCAGTTAACACACATCTCTAAGTGAGTCAAGGCTCACATGGGATTACGCTCACCTCTGTCTCTTGCGGCATGGGAGAATGAGCGATGACTGCGATTCTGTGTTCGAATCGTTGCCGAATTTGGACAGGGGCGACTTCCTCGAAGCAAATCCCGCGGACTTCCTGTAAAGGTAAGCGGCTCTTAATTGACGCGGGCCGAGGCGATGGGAGACGGGGGGCTGGGGGGCACGGGGCCCCACACTCCGCGAGAGTTACTCGCGCAAATCTCGGTCAAAGAGCTGATGACTTCCTTTCCATTTCGTTCCCTACGTTGCCGGCTGTGGTGCGGCTCTGTAGCGAGCTTCGATATGCTATCAAATTTTTAAAAAATGCCGAAAAGGAAGGGTGTTTGCTGATTGTTGCCCGCTATCCGATGAAGTAATAAATAGAACGTCATTATATCGGCCTTATTGTCGAATGGAATATTAAGTGTAAAATCGCCGCACGTATATGTGAGGTTTTAAATTATCCTTGTAAAGTTTTCAAATGATAAAATATCTATAGACATGAGTAGTTGAAAATCTGAATTTTGAATATTTACGCGGATGAAAAAGGAGGAAGTTGTGACCAGCCGCTAAAAGACCGTGCAGTATGATTGTGTCAATACTTATCATCAGATGAGAATTTGCGTATCTCCATTGCACGTTATATTGCAAAATCTCAGAATTGCTCTTTAATTTTTTGAAAGAAAACCAAGCGAGATACCTCATTACATTTTTGTGAATTTGTTTGGTTTAGTGATGAAAATTCAGAGAAAATTTTAATAAAAACTGTTCAGAAAATAATGCATGAACGGAGATTCACCACTTTGCAATCGGTGATAAGTATTTTTTTTTACTTATTCCAAAAAAACAAAAAAAAACTTATGGTGGAGAGTTCGAGAAGCAGTATGCTGAACACTAGGTGGTGCATTTTCAGACGCCCTGATTTGATTACGGATTCCATCCAAAGTTCTTTATTATTTCACATAATTGAAGTTATGTAGATGTAACTGCTCTACATCCCACTCTCGTGTAACCGAAGCTCATCCGGACACCTCGTTTTTTGCGTGACGTAAGTCGTTCACCGCTGGTATCCTCAGAAGTTATCACGAGACTGACTGGCTGTACATTTCATCCTTTCATTAAAGTGGCGGAAGACCGAGATTTTTTATCTGAATGAAATAATTGTGAACCTTAATAAGTTGTAACCGAGAGGCTTGTGTGGGAATATTGAATTCATTCTAGGTATACTCATTTTGGCTGTGAGAATATTATATTCGAGACTCATAGCTAGCTATCCAACGGGAAACTTTACTTTAGTTCCGCCTATCTTTTCTTCTCTCTCTTTCTCTCCTCAGTATTTCTCCTTTTGCCCAAAAAGAAGGCTGATCAGATTCCTGAAATAATTTTTTTTTTTTTTTTTATTGTAGCTCTAGAATTTAAGAAGAAAGTAATAGAAGGAAAAACTCACATCTCCACCAGGTTTCATTAGGTTTCTATTTGACGTTACTGTTGAGATCCACCGTTGTTAAAGGGTCGCTTCCTATTTTCATCCATCAAAGAAAACGGTCCAACTCTAAACTTTTGACAGAATATTCTTGCCACAGAGTAAATAACCAGGGAAGTTTTCAAGAAAATACTTTACGTATTTTCCATTTAAAAAAAAAAAATGATAAAAAGTCTGCAGCGTTGCAGACTGGAGATACGCGTTTTTGCAGTTTTATCGTCGCAATGCTCTATCTCCGTCGAGTAGTCTCCTGTTTTCACGTTATTTTTTTGAGAGAGCGAATTTGCTTTTTGAAAGTTTTTCCTCTCAATCAGTTCTCAAGTTTTTTTTTTCGTGTCATGACGAGGTCCGTCAAAATATTAGTTTCAAAATAACCACGCTCGCGTCGATGAGTGCATGCGTTTTCACCGCAAATAGGAACCTACGTCACGAGCGCTGGAAATTCTCCGATTCAGCAAGTCTTCGGTAAAAGCTCGGTTTACGTCTGTCATAGTTTTGTTTGTAAATATTGAAGCCCTTGATGGCCTTCCATCGAGCTGCCTGCCTCTTACCTCGTGTAGTGATATTGGCCT